TAGCTCCTTTTCACAGTATAATGTCCTACCTATTTGGCCTTGCAGACTTCTTGACTTGGGAACCTTCTGTAGTCGATGATCTCTCCTTTCTACAGATTCTCCAACCTGCGTGGACACAGCAGACGCTGACAGCGAAACGAATGCAGTCTTTTAAAAGAAAATGAATGACTGGATGCAGATCATTATGTTTACTACCCAAAAACAAACAAGCTACCTATGAATGGAAAAGGTCAGGAACACACAACCCATTATCAGGCCGAATTCTGTCAAGGTGTGCGTGCAGAAGGGCAGGACAGAGGATGGAATGTTTCGAGCGCATTTTCATTTCGTTCACCCAATCATTACGGTGATTAACTAAATACCGGGCCACAACGGCAGGTTGCGAGGTGCTGATCAACTTTTCTTTGATAAAGTGCCGATGACCCTTCCGGTAGACTAGAGCGCTCGACCACCTATGCTATGGGCATGTGCTTGAATGTCTGTGTTTCCGTGTTTGCAACTTGTTTGCTCTCATCAGCCAGCCATACCCAACCGACAGAGGATCGAACCGGCGACGAGTTGAATAAAGTATCATTCAGCCCGCATTGTCAGTCATTCCTCCTTTCAGCGAGTAGAGACTTATCAGGACGTTTTGCTAAATCGGGAGTTTTTTCCGTGATACTCTTTATCCCCTCGCTGAAGGTTCCAGATTGCGATCACTGTACTTCCAGTCGCTGGATAAATTTAACGGGGCTTAATCCAATTATTAAAGTGTGCTCGACCTCGCAGAATTCCAACTCCAGTCCGGCCGACTGAACATCCAGCAGAGCATTGATAATAGTGGAGTCTTGCTCATTCTAAGATCTGCTTCCCAGTAGATTTTCGAGCATATATGCATGGTTTCTTAAAACAAATCTTCGATAATATAACAGTAAGACTTTAGGGATTCGATTGAGAGTTCTTCGAAGGAAGATCTATGATGACAATAAAACGTTCGCCAGATAAGGTTCTAGAACCTGCCAGAAATCAGGGGTTATCGCAAATGCTTGATTCAAGTTACTAGAGTGCTCATTTGTACTTTTTTGTCGTACATGAGATACACATCACGTTCTGGAGAAACACTTTAAGGTCTTTTACCTAGGTTTGGTATTGCTTGGTCTCCTTTGGTTTGGTTAACCGCTGTGTTTTATCAGATGTACACCTACATACGCTCGAGGCGGCAAACTGTCCGACAGTACTGTGGATGAAGGAAAAAGTTCACGAGGGGAGGTAGGAGACTCCCAGCAGGAAATGTTATGTCAGCTGCCTGGCGAACTGGTTGCGTCATCAGATGCACTATAGGGGAGAGCAGACACCACACCTTCCACGCCAAAGGGTGTTGTCTGCGAGAATGCTTCGTCACCTGTTCTCTCCCGAGAGCCACA